GTTGAGGAAATGTATATGTTTATCTCTCAGAATGTTTGGTAATATGTTTATTGTTTGTGATGTGTGTCTATGTATGTATTAACACGATGTACTGAACGGGGTGAGAATAGCTTGAGCTACCTCATCCCTTTGTGTGTATTTTACCTCAATAAACTTATTTCAATTTCAATTCAATTTTTGAAATGTATTTCATTATCTCAATAAAACTCAATTCAAGTACGTTTATTGAGACAAGAAAATACATCTCGAAGGAATAGAGTAGCTTAGGCTATTTCTACCTTCCGTGTACTTCAAGTCCCTCGAGGGGCGTACAAATCCAGTGCGCCAGAACTTAAAACTCTGACAAGTTTCAGCTCGGGGCGGAGGCCGCGCGGAGTCAGGTCTAAAACCTGTACCGACATGACCATGACGTGTTGTGCGAGGTCACGCATCTCGCCCACACCATATACGACATAGCAGTTTAATATCTTAGTTACATTAGGTTAGGTTATGAGGGGTATTGATGCCGTAAGGGAGGAGGGAGGGGGGAGGTGGTTACATATATGTTTCTCAGGTCTTGGACCCTACTCCAATTGGAGCTAAGAAATAGGCCTGGTTTAAGCTCTTCTAAGTGTAAGTAATTACAATTAAGACTTGTATTCTTCTTATTTCAACTATGGCTACACTACTGACTTTATAAGAAATTGGTGTTTAGTGTTTGAAATTATTGGTTTAATCTTTAATTCACATCATTAAGGTGTGTGTGTGTGTGTGTGTGTGTGTGTAGGTGTGTGTGTGTGTCATCACTGCCAGACATGTTCCCACAGGCAGTCATCGTTGTCAATAGCATGGTATATCTTGAGTTTTTATTGATGAAATTCCAACTAATACCGATTATATAAATCAACTAGTCTAGAACCATTTTTCCTTCGATTGCTATATTGTAAACAGTTAAGACTTATAAGGGCTGTTTGTACATTCAATGAAGGCGAGACCAAGCTCCCCCATTGTGTACAAAATGTAAATAGCGAACTGTAGAAAGACAAATCAACACCAAAGATGTGGGAGTAATCATGCCTAAAGACCTTAGTCTTAAAGAACGACGTGAAGACAATCGCAGCTGCAAGAATGACAGGTTGGTTGTTCATTTCAAACGTATGCCAGACCGAATGATAGTTGTCGAGACACTAGTGTTCTCTAGGGGCAGGAGAAAGGAGTAAGTAGTAGTAACAGGGCAAGGGGCAGTGCCAAGAGGAGGGGAAGAGATCGAGTAGGAGCAAGAGGTAGTGACAGAGAAGGAAGAGAGGTAGAAATGAGGTGGAAAGGAGGAGGGGGAAAAAAAGGTCAACAGGGGTCAGGGGGGTTATGGAAATGGCGTGAGGTCTTATAGGGGCGAGAAGAGGTGGACGAGAGTGGTCTCGACCATCACCCAGCCCTCAGAAATGCTGCGGTTTTGCGAGCCCAGAACCGTCAGCTCCCCCCCTCCTCCCCCCCATCATAAGGGTGATAACCGCGAGGCCCAGGAAGCGTCAATTTTGCGGGGATCTTAATTTTACTAAACCATCGCAATTTTTACGCCAGGGTCGAGAGCGTTACACATGTAGTGTGTGTAGTAAGATGACAGTCTATATATATGAAATGAGACGGGGATTATGGCAAGTGAATACGTCCCAGGAGCTGAATCCCAACCTGGTAACTGGCCCAACAAATTTTTGGACCTAACCGTCAAGGGTCACTCTTCCTCTCCCTACATGTCCCCAACCCTCCCCCCCCACCATGTCCCCCAACACTTCCCCCCCCACCATGTCCCCCAACACTGCCTCCACCATGTTCCCCAACACTCCCCCCCACCATGTCCCCCAACACTTCCCCCCCCCACCATGTCCCCCAACACTGCCTCCACCATGTTCCCCAACACTCCCCCCACCATGTCCCTCAACACTCCCCCACTACCATGTCCCCCCCCACCATGTCTCCAACACTCCCCCACTACCATGTCCCCCCCCACCATGTCCCCCAACACTCCCCCCACCATGTCCCCAACACTCCCCCACTACCATGTCCCCCCCACCATGTCCCCAACACTCCCCCACCATGTCCCCCAACACTCCCCCCCACCATGTCCCCCAACACTCCCCCACTACCATGTCCCCCCCACCATGTCCCCAACACCCCCCCCCCACCATGTCCCCAACACTCCCCCCACCATGTCCCCCAATACCCCCCCCCCACCATGTCCCCAACACTCCCCCACCATGTCCCCAACACTCCCCCACCATGTCCCAGAGTCCGTCTAATTACCCAAAGCTACCCAAAGCTTCCAAGCATTACGTCAATAATGAAGAACTATGAAAATTTGAAAAACCTTTTCTGTTTATGCTTCATAATGTGTGGGTTCCATGCTGGTACTGCGTACCCAAGTAATGGTCTCACATAGGCAGTGTGTATGGAAAGCCTCCCTGTTTATATTCTTAAATGTTTTCCCCTCCCTGTGAATTTAAGTGATTTCTTTTAGTGAATTCAAAGTCTCAGTCTCTCAGTCTCTCAGTCTCTCAGTCTCTCAGTCTCTCAGTCTCTCAGTCTCTCAGTCTCTCAGTCTCTCAGTCTCTCAGTCTCTCAGTCTCTCAGTCTCTCAGTCTCTCAGTCTCTCAGTCTCTCAGTCTCTCAGTCTCTCAGTCTCTCAGTCTCTCAGTCTCTCAATTTTTTTGTTGCGACCCGCCTGCCACTTCTAATTTGTCTTTCGTGCTCTATCTCACCTTACCAATTACATCCTCTTCTGTCTCTCGCCCAAATCTACTCTCTCTCCCTCCCTCCTCCTTCTCCTACCTGTCCCCAGAGACCACCGCCCTTGGCCACCTGTTCCGAGAAAGACCCATCACAGTTTTGCAGATGTGGGCGGTGGCAAGGTGGGCCTTGGGGGGGGGGGGGTGGCGCCCCTCCTCTTCTCCCGTGTACGGAACTTACCTTAGCGGCTGGCTGGCTAGGGGGGGGGGGGGGTTAGGGGTGGGGTGGTGGGGACACATAGGTGGGGGTGATGCTGGAGATACCTTGGGAGGGCAGGGTGGTGGTGGGGGACACATGGGGAGGGCAGGGTGACACAGGAAACGTCAGGGGTGACACGGGAATTGACGGGGCGACACAAGGTGTGAACTCACAGAAAGGAGCAAAATAAAACTGGTTGGAAACACACAGGGAGAGGCGAAGACACACAAAGGAAAAGGTGAAAGAAATACCAATAAGAGATTACATTAATTACTGTAGGCTAAGGAAGTTTCAAAATCAAAGGAATCGACCAGTGAAACTGGTCTTGAAGAGCAGTAATACATTAAAGACTGAATATATTAGTATAACGAAATGGCTCAGACATGATTATATCTGAGAAAATAGTGAAGTCATATAATGAGATCGAACCCTCATCGCTGAACGCCACAGGCACTCACAATTGTTGAACGTGTGCCCATTTTGTTCCTACCACACATTTACAATGCTAACCAGCATAGATACATTTTCTTCTGTCCTCCATGGACAGCGTTATGGATCTGATAAACGTATAATTCAATGATTTATTGAACAATCAACCACAGAAGGTGCGCATGTGCCATTATATGTCTAAAGAAAATGGTAGTGAAGATGCCAAGTCTGACGAAGTATCTATTCAAAGAAGTAGGAAGGAGCAACTAGATCAACACACAACCCTTCCTCTCTCAGGACTGGGCATGGAACAGCCACGCTTCCCTTCTGGTAAAATCAAGTAGAGATGAATAGCATTAAAGAGAAGGTCCACACAGGAGCCGTGAGAAAGACTCGAACCTATGGGCTGGATACTCCCAGACACACGCTCTAGACGACTATAGGCCACGGCATGGTCAAAAGAATTGCAACCTGGGGTTCTGCTGAACCAACGAGGATTCCCGAGGCTTCCACTGAAGCCCCCGAACCAGGGTGTCACACAATTCCACCATACACTCTGGCTTCTGCCATCTAGGAATTCTACACCTGGGGTTCTACCTCTAAAGGGAAGGGGTTCACTGGGAGGGTTCTTTGATACATCACGTTATGGGATTTCACTGTGTATTGAACCCCTACTGTTCCTTATTGGTGTGGACGACGTAACAGGGAAAGAAATCTCCTAAATGTTAATGTTTGAAGATGTCGCAGAAGGGAGATGTTTAAGAAGGGAGGGGTTCACTGGGTGGGAACACACACACAGGGAGGGGTTCACTTGTTGGATAACAAGTGAACCCCTAGGTGGGTATGAGTAACCACTTGGTGAGTAACAAGGTGGGTATGTGGGCTTGCGGGCCGCTCCCAGTAACAGTCTGGTGGACCAAACTCTCACAAGTCGAGCCTGGCCTCGGGCCGGGCTTGGGTAGTAGAAGAACTCCCAGAACCCCATCAAGCAGGTATCAAGCAAGCAGGTATCTCACACACACACACACACACACACACACAATTAGAGGTTCTCTGGGTGGAGAACACACACTCAGGGAGGGGTTCACTTGTTGGGAACACACGGTGAGAGGGAGACACTGGGTGGGACACACAAGGAGAGGGGGACAACGGGTGGAGGGACACGATGAGAGGGGAGACACTGGGTGGGGAGACACGATCTGAGGAAGACACTGGGTGTTGACCGACGAAGTTAAAATTGTTAAAAGTAACTCGCCCTGTTTACAGAAAGCTACAATTAAAACCACTTTAATTGTGTCCTGGACCCCCCAATGCCCATACGTCACCTATATGTCAACATATGGGAACACAACACTTATTCTCGTCTTTCGTCACCGAGTGCTTTCATAAACGTGTTTCAGATTTTTAAATGAGCTCATCACGGATAAAATACCGTAGTACTAGCTCGTATATACAAGTAGTGAGGCTGGTAGTATCTGTGGCCGTCGTCGTGTCCATAGTAACTGCTGGCTGTGAGGTGTTCCGCTGACGTCAAAGTTTCTGTGTTGCCTTTTTGTGAGGACAGGTTTTAAGAGAGAGAGACCCGACCACAATGTAACAAGTGTACTCACCGTCCAGATAATGCTCGCAGCTCACCGGCCGCTGACAGGAGACCACTTGTTGGGTGCTGGTGGGGGGACGATGGCGCTGGAGGCTATAGGCAGGATGTCACTGCGGAGCTGCTCCTTGCTCTCTGCCGCTGTCCGGGCTCAGCCGGGGGGAGTAGCCGACCTGGCCTGCGCCAGTTCCCCCTCTCTGTTCTACGCAGATTTCCGTTTTCTATACTGCATCCCCCGCGCGCGGGAGAAGGACTGCCATTCACCATATCGGCTTAAAGGGCTCGCGTTTCTCCCTGATGAATTCTCAAATTTCCATTAGTTGTCGCTGGTGCGTCATGGAGGATGATGAACCTCTAATCGTCATGGCTGCGAGGATCCATAATGGAAATATGACATTCGCCAATAATGTCTGCGTTTAAAAATCACGATAATGATTTTAATTAATGCGTTTTTCTGCTCTTCATTATTGTTTATAACAAGAATACCCTTATATATATATATATATATATATATATTATATATTTATATTTGGGCTTCTGACGTTTCGAAGCCCGGCAAATTGTTTTTGAGTTTCGTAAAACAAAGAAGGGCTGTGTAAAATCTTTATGATAGATCCTAACCTGCCTAGAGCACAGAAAATACTATTTATCCAACAGCCTGGTTGACCAATGCAGCAACGAGGAGTCCTGGTCGAGGACCGGGCCGCGGGGACGCTAAGCCCCGAAACCATCTCGAGGTAACCTCAAGGTAAGGTATCACCGCGAGGTATCAGTCCGGGCATGAAAGGAGCTCTCAGCGTTGGTTAGGTTAATTGGTGGGTATGACGCGGGCGGGCTTCCTGCCACCCGTGCCCAGTCCCCCATGCCCGGGCGGGCTTCCTGCCCCTGTGCCCAGTCCCCAGTGCCCGGGCGGCCTGTGTGTGTGTGTGTGTGTGTGTGTGTGTGTGTGTGTGTGTGTGTGTGTGTGTGTGTGTGTGTGTGTGTGTGTGTGGTCACTCTTCTCTTCCACAGGGGATCGCCCAGTACGCTCCCTCAGTACAAACATACACACACACCTATATAAGGCTCTAGTTCGGCCGCATCTAGAGTATCCCCCAGTACCACTACACACCATAAAGAAAACTAACATGCAAAAACTGCAAGCAGTGCAAAATAAGGCACTAAGGAGAGCAGCAAAACACCGTCCACCATATGATCAGACAATCCAGGAGCTCCACGAACTCCTGAACATACAGCCACTAAACATCAGACTACAGCACCAAGCCATCAGGGTGTGGAACACCATCGGAATGTTAGAGGACCCAATGTTAGAAAGATTGCTCCAAGATGAGACGCCCCGCTCCCACAGCTGGTAGCCCAAGAGCCTTTATTTACTAGATGAAAACCCAGCCCCACAGTACATAATTCCCAGATGAAATACTGACCAGAAATCCCTCTCCCCCCCAATACTTGAAAAAACTGCGTGTAACTAACCATATATATATTATATATATATATATATATATATATATATATATATATATGCGAACAAGACTGAAAGGTCCCCAGGACAATATGCAACTGAAAACTCACACCCCAGAAGTGACTCGAACCCATACTCCCAGGAGCAACGCAACTGGTATGTACAAGACGCCTTAATCCACTTGACCATCACGACCGGACAAAATGAGGTGATAGCCTAAGCTATTTGAACCACCCCACCGCCGGCACTCGGATAGTAATCTTGGGCATAGCATTTTACCAAATCACCTCATTCTTTGGGGCACACGTGAGGAACATAAATGCGAACAAGCCTGAATGGTCCCCAGGACAATATATATATATTATATTGTACTATATATAGTACTATATATATATATATATATATATATATATATATATATATATATAAATATATATAAATATATATATATATAAATATATATAAATATATATAGTATGGTTAGGTTAATTGGTGGGTATATATACGAATATATATATATACGTATACATACAAATCAATAAATAATAAAAATAAAATAACCTTAAACAGAACATGTGTGGAAGTATCTGAGTGTGTATATATATGAGTGCTACACAGTAATAATCTATATATAGACCTCCATATATGGCGAAACACATACGAAGAACCTCTCATACACTCACAGCTCCCCGACAAGCGGGAGCCAGCTTAGCTTAGCTGCCAACACCCACACATCGTGTCAGCAAGGCGGACAGCTCGCCTGCTTTCATACCTCTCACTGTATTTTTCACTTCTAAACTGATGGGTGAGGGGGGGAGCAGGGGGGTTATTGAGGGTTGACGGAGGGGAGGGAAGGGGAGAGGGTGTGACGGGTCGGGGAGGGGGAATGTGGAAGGGGTACAGCAAGAGGAGAGGGATAATGAGAAGAGAGGGATAATGAGAGGAGAGGAATAATGAGAATGAAAACATGGGTAGAGATATATATGGCTTGAGACGAGGAACGTGGGGTTGGGGGGGGGGGGATAGAATAATTTGGAACAAGTACTAAATTAAACGAGACGAGACTGGCTGACCGCGCCCTAGTACCGAGGTCACATCACCCCAGAGGTCACATCACCAGTGACCTCGTGGGGTCACGTACTAACCCCTCCCCCCCCCCCCCTCATCCTCGCACTTACTTGCCCAAGTATTGTGACGTCACCTCATCAGGTAATGCACCTGGAGTCTCCAAATGAATTAATTATTAACACTACTCACGCCATGGTTAAGCCTCCCCCCCCCCTGTGTTGCAGTTCACCCCTTCCCCCTCCCCCCTTCCCATGTTGCAGGTCATTCCCCCTCCCTGTTGCAGGTCACCTTCCCTGTCGTAGGTCACCTCACCTGCCTGTGTGCACCTTAGAAAGGGGGCGTGAAGGTACTCACAAAATAGGTGATCTCGTGTCACGATTCTTGAAATAAAAGACCACGACCCATTGTTATTGTAGTTTATTAATGAGATACAAATTGAAAGTTTCGTACAACTACGGAATATATGAAGCTGAGAAAAGGGGTACTTCGAATGCCTTGTTTTTGTTAAAGGCGGGTTTGTGTCAGGTGGCCGGCTGGGCTGGCCACAGCCGGCCTCCCTACACCTGCAGGTGTCAGGTGGCCGGCTGGGCTGGCCGCTGCTGGCTTCCTCACACCTCCAGGTGTCAGGAAATATTAACATTGCTAAATGCTGTGGTCGTATTTAAACATCTTGACAAATCTTACAAATAAATCCGAGATCAAAGGTGAATCTGGCTAAAAGTTGTAATAATGTTTCCTTTATAAATTGTAGGAGGAGTACATTTGTTAAGGTAATTATCAGGAGAAAACTATAAACCAGTATGACTATAGAGGACTTAGAAAGGATATGAGATAGACTAAGAGCTGGGATATGAAGACAAAGTAGGAAATGGGTACAAATAGCTTGAATCTGAGGACGGAGTGAAAGAATGGTGCCCAACCACTTGGACCATCGGGGATCGAACACCGATCCTGCACTAAGCAAGGTCACTGTACCGACCAATCCAAGTGGACGGACCCTGGAACACCAGCTGGCAACGCATGCACCAACGCGTTCAAGAGAGAATATATGCCCGTTGTCTTTGCAAAATGCAACAAATACATGCATATATGATTATCTAATAAATATTACGTTTAACAGTCATGACGAGCAATAGAAAAAAATGCACGATTTATGTGCAATAAAAGTTCTAATTGTTAGGACTCAAGGTGAACTTTGACGATATTCGACCATTATAAATATTTCGTTTTGTATAAAACGGGAAACCGGTTCAGGCGTGTAAGGTCCTCGCCCCAGTACACGAGAACACGGAGGGAGTGAGAAATGCTTCGTTTATGTTCGGTTGGAGTCAACCTCTGGAGAGCCACCTGGGGCCACCACAAAAGTTTAGAGATAAACCAACAAGTATACTTTAGTCCGCGATAAAATCCAGGTCTAAAGAAAACTCGACGTGTATGTATATATATATATACACCGAGATATACTCCGTGTGTGTATATCCATAAGAGAGAGAGAGAGAGAGAAATGTTACAAGTGCTTGTAGTCGAGCTTAGCGAGCACCTTGTCGTCTCCTGCTTCGTTCTGCGGATTAGCGCCACGATTCTGGTCGTCGTTCTCGTCCTCATCATCGTCCTCCTCGTCGTCCTCGTCCTCCGCTTCTCTCCTACTCGATTCCACGATGCGGAAACACTCCAGAAACTCATTGAAATCGATGGAACCGTCTTTGTTGATGTCGATGGAGCGCGCCAGGTCGGCGATCTCTTGCTTGGAGATGGAGACGTCGATGTGGCGACTGAGCAGCTCACACGTCTCGCTAAACTCTTCCATGCTGATCACACCTGAGGAACCAAGACGTGTACAGTCACTCACTTCAAGAAATATATCTTCTCAGATGCTATCATAATTGCTTTAACTATTCTATCACTCGTCCCAGGAATTCTAGAACGTATCCTAGCCTGCACTTAAGCTTATCAAGGTCCACCTCAACCCCCAATACCCACCCCGAGGTCAATTTGTGGGGCCCCACCCCACAACAGTTGAACAATTCCCAGGTATCTATTTTACTGCAAGGTGAACAAAGGTATCAGACGAGAAAAGCGTGCCAAATCGTCTCTACCCTGTCTGGGGATTGAAGTGGGGTCCCCTCGACTGAGAACCGAGTGCTATGTTTCAAGCCAGCCCTTTCTCTCAATTTGCAATTCCATAACAGATGCAGCTGTCTTCTTCAACCAGAAGCGAACTAACCCAATCATCCCACCTAACCAATTTGAGGATGCATAGAAAACGTCAATAAAACAGTGCTCGAGTTTCTTTTTTTTACTAATCCGACGCAATTTGAACAGATCTGTTCCGTGAAAAAATGCGACGTGAAAGGACGCATTTTCCACTGATAACCAATCGCGTAGAAAGAGCTCCAGCGGAGGTAATATGATGTTGATAATATTATATATAAATAATTTTGAGGTCTGCGTAAGAACCTGGACCACTGACCTACCTGAGTTGTCCTTGTCGATGAGGGTGAAGATGGTCTCCAGGCTGTTCTTGTGACGGTAGAGCGCCTCCACCACCGTCGGTCCTCCCTGGGGGAGGTAGAATCGTAATTATAACGTGACTCGTGGTTGAGGGCCTCCACCACCGTGAGTCCACATTGAGGGCCTCTACCGTGGGTCCACATTGAGGGCCTCCACCTCCACCGTGGGTCCACATTGAGGGCCTCCACCACCACCACCGTGGGTCCACATTGAGGGCCTCCACCACCACCGTGGGTCCACATTGAGGGCCTCCACCACCACCACCACCGTGGGTCCACATTGAGGGCCTCCACCACCACCGTGGGTCCACATTGAGGGCCTTCACCACCACCACCGTGGGTCCACACCGAGGGCCTCCACCACCACCACCGTGGGTCCACATTGAGGGCCTCCACCACCACCACCGTGGGTCCACACCGAGGGCCTCCACCACCCCACCGTGGGTCCACATTGAGGGCCTCCACCACCACCACCGTGGGTCCACATTGAGGGCCTCCACCACCACCACCGTGGGTCCACACCGAGGGCCTCCACCACCACCACCGTGGGTCCACATTGAGGGCCTCCACCACCACCACCGTGGGTCCACATTGAGGGCCTTCACCACCACCACCGTGGGTCCACACTGAGGGCCTCCACCCCGGGGCACCACCCTTGGGGCGGGGGGGGGGAGGGGGACGCTCACTGCAGGCTGAGGGAGGCTGAAGAACAAGCAGCAACACAATATTGTATTGGTAAGAAAAGTTATGTGAAAATCGAAAACAAATCTGTGGGTGAGTTTTGTGTTACTCTGAAGAACTAACCTGAATTATGAAGGGTGCGTGAAAAGCAATACTAAGCCGTTTACAGTTTACAGTACATTACAGAGGTATCCTGAGGTCGATAGATGAGAGACAGTTGCTTTGACGCTCGGAAGATTCTGCATCAAGGTTTGGAGGAACTGTCAACCAGATCGCTCTGACGATTTAACAAGCACGGGCTCACCATAGCCCGTGCTGCTTGGAACTTTGATCCAGGTAGCGAATCTTTAACAACAACAACATTTAACAAGTGTCGAATTTGAAGTGGGTTTTGTCTATCCCGAAGCGTTGGATCCCTCTGACCGAGCCCACCTGACTTACTGTGGTGTTAGGCTCGCAACGAGTGAGGTAGTGTGTTGTTATTTTTAAGAGGACGGGTTGGTGTGTTCCACCCAACCTGCCCTGGGGGGTAACCCTGGTAAACCTGCCAGGGTTAACCCCCTGGGGGTTTGTTTATAAGAATAATAACCTTGGGTTGTAAACAAAATGAAAAGGTTTCGTTACCTGTACATTTCGTAATGAATACAGGCTTCGTAACTGGATAAATTAAATGCCTGCTAAATGTTGGCCGAGAACTATAACAAGAAGCTCACCTTAACAGCCAGGTCCTTCTTGAAGGTGTCGTCGAGGAAGGTGGTGGTGTAGTTGACCTGGCCGGAGGTCGGGTGGAGAGTCACCAGCTTATCCTTGAGGACTCGCCAGGGTAGCTTGAGGCTGCTCTCCCTCGCCATCACCTCCACCCAGTCCCCGACACCGATGTAACCTGTGGCAGGGGGAGAGAGACCTGAGAGACGTATGAACCCAAGCCACCCACCTAACCTATCGAGTCCAGTGCATAGATAACGTGGAAAATTGTGAACACTTTTCACATAACTTCACATAACTTGCCAGGCATTTACGTCTCATCTCTCTCAGTCATCCACCCTCCAAATGGCTAGGCTAAGTTCTAATATATTCAGTAAATCCGTCGACAAATTTAATGCCGGAAAAGACTGCCAGAATCACGGTCTCCCGGTGACCATTAAAGAAACATTATCAAGACTCACTATCTCATGGAAATATAAGAATCTAGAATTTACCTGTCTTGTCGACGTCCCTCTGCTGGAAGGCCTCCAGGAGCCTGGATTTTGAGGCGAGGATCTGCTCCCGGAGGTCTCTGAAGGCTGACGTCTCCATCCGCCCCACCCGCTCCCGGATAGTTAGTTTCCGCGTCCTGTTGAAGGCTCGCCCGTCAGTAAGGGCTTGTCTCTTAAATAATTACTTACTTAAAACTGACCCACCAGGTGGTGAAGGACACAGAAACATTGTCTTAATTTAAGGTCATTATGAGGAAGCGTCAAACCTATGACTACATAGCGCTTGGAAGGGATATGAGGACCAGGAGCTGGGATATGGGGACCAGGATCTGGGATATGGGGACCAGGAGCTGGGATATGGGGACTACCAGGGGAGAGTTAGTGTTACGCCCTGTGCTGGGTGACCCACGCATGATCCTCATATTACACTATCACCTCAGAAGCTTAGAGTGTCAACAAACAGCCACGTTAACTACCACCAAATAATTTACCTTTTCCCCCCAAATGACGACGAGTGACGTCACATCACATAATGACGTCACATCACGCTCCACAATTTGACGTCATCATGGAGAGTGTGTCTCCTTTATAATACTGTCTACAGTGGCTTTATTTACCTTTGGATACTTTGGGAGGAAGGAGAGAGGTAGAGCTAGACAGGTAGAGTGAGAGGTAGATTGACATACTTGGTGTGGGCGGTGTACTGGATGAAGTGGGGCTGGAGGTCGGGGCCCTGGAGCCTGACGTAGGCGCCCCGGTTACTGCCGGCCTCGTAGTAATTAGACGCCGAGAAGATGGTCAGACACTGTGGAGGAGAAGACGTCTTACCTCGGCACTTAGAAACCTCTCCCCCCCCCCCACCAGAAATTAGAAACCTTACCCCCTCCCCAGCAAATTAGAAAACTCCCATAGGAATTAGAAACCTTAACCCCCACAAGAATTACAAAACTCCCCTTCCCAGAAATTAGAAGCCTTTCATTTGAGGAGATTGTGGAAGGTCAATTTACATTCACTAGAAAAGCGAAAAAAATGAGTTATGGGTAACATGATTGATGTGTACAAGTGGATGATTGGAAATAACAAGGGATGAATGTTGATATGTTTAATACATTAATAATGTACTAAAATATATCAACACAAAATATAACCTGAAGCAGTGTATATAAATTGAATAAGTTTAAACGTAGGAAAGACCTGGGTAAAAACTGGTTAGGGGAAACATTTGTTGATATGTGGAACAGATTATTAGGCGACATAATTTACATGTATTCGATGGAGTTCACTGAATCTACATAAAGTCTGGAGGCCTATATGGATAACGTTTGGACTGGCTTCAGAGGAGGCCTCTAGACTTCCTTTTTTATGCAGTAGAATACCAGGTTGTATAACTTATACCATGTTGTGGTGCTGGGGGGTAAGGTGCGCGGCTGGGAGTCCCTTTGATCGCTGGTTCGAGTCACCTTATTGCTCCAATTGATTTTCTCAGCTCTTATTTATAACTACACAAACTCAGTCTCATAAATGTTTAACCTACGCTTGAAACAATCCACGTATGAACCTTTCCTATGCTTGAAGCTAATTTTTGTTTGGTTTTCTCTGTAGGATACGTACATGACTCTGAAAAGCATCAGATGGGCTGCATTTCGTTGTAGTAGCGAAGATATCGTGTAGTTTCCCGACTAATACGATAGCCTGAGCTGAGTTTAGTAAGGTAATGTATTATTTAAGGTTTTGTCCGGGGGACCCGATGTGTTCCGTTGAGGGTGGAGTCTACCGACGGTGTTGTTCTGGGTCAACTGAGTATCTAGGGGAAACTACTGAATGTGTTGTCCAATGTAAATTGCATTGGTGTGGACTCCTTGGTAAACGTCACTGTCGAGAGTATACTAACCGTGTTGTTATGGGTAAACTCGTAGCCGTCCAATTTACACTCGTGTGAGCGTATGAGGAGAGCGAGGCCATGTTTGACGAGGAAGTCCCTGGTGACGTCGGGGCCGAAGTAGCTGCCCCCACCTCTGAAGGCATTGGGTTGACAGCCGAACTCCGTTTGTGGGTCGCTCCACAGTAGGTCCAGCACCTGGAACCCCCAAACACACACATGTTTAATGGTCCAAATGCGTTTGTGGGTCGTTGTGTTATCCACAGGGATATGGAAGGCCACGACCCACCTGCTTCCACTCATAGTTGGCAGCCGCAAGACGGGCCTCTCTGTCAAGATCTGTGGGGCTGCTGAGGGTGTCGCAGGAGAGGGACTCGCCGTCGGGCAGCGTGGCCGCTGGACTCCTCAACACGCTCACGTACTGCAGGAGCACCCAAGCGGTTAATGACATCCATGTTTATGCAAATTTTTGACCTATGTTGGGTCAAATTTTACCCAAACGCCCCTACAGTTTTTAAAATATCGGAAATCTGACTCATGAGCGTTATTTTTGTGCCGAATTCTGGCTCACTGCACATATTTAAAGTTGCAAATTACAATGTGTTATACCGAAAATATGGCAATTAGTGAAAACGGCGATGGGTCACATTTTGTCGAAACCCCCCTGCAGTTTTCAAAAAATCCCAAATATCCCAAATCTGACTCTTGAGCCATATATTGGAGCCAAGTTCTGGCTCTCTGCATATATTTGCAGTTTGAAATTACGACTTTTTTTTTACCGAAATTATGCCAATTATTGAAAACAGCGATGGGTCATATTTTGCCTCCCCCCCCCCCCTGCAGTTTTCAAAATATCCCAACTTTCCGTAATCTGACTGTTGAGCCATATTTTGAAGCGAAATTCTGGCTCTCTGCACATATATGCAGTTTGAAAAAACGAAATTTTAGACAGAAATTATGCCATTAACTGAAAACGGCGATGGGTCACATTTTGCACAACCCCCCTGCAGTTTTCAAAATATCCAAAGTATCCCAAATATGACTCCTGAGTCATATTTTAGAGCCAAATTCTGGCTCTCTGCACATATTTGCAGTTTGAAATTACGACTTTTTATACCGAAAATATTCCAATTACTGAAAAGGGAGATGGGTCACATTTTGCCCAAACCCCCCTGCAGTTTTCAAAATATCGGAAATATCGTGTGAGAGAGAGAGAGAGAGAGAGAGAGAGAGAGAGAGAGAGAGAGAGAGAGAGAGAGAGACAAAGAGACAAAGAGACAAAGAGACAAAGAGAAAGAGACAAAGAGACAAAGAGACAAAGAGACAAAGACAGAGACAGAGATACAGACAGACAGACTGAGTGAGTGTGTGTCAAACTCCATCCAGCAACTTAACACAAATCACAAAACAAATAAAACTCTAGACGCCATCAAACCTTGCTCCTGTCGATGTTGGCGATCTCCTTGAGGTCGATATCGGTGGAGATGCCGCCGTGGACGACCATAACCTTGTTGTCAATGACGGTAGCCAGGGGCAACCAGCGGTACACCTCCTCCAGCAGCCGCAGGATCCTCGGCCCGTGAGGCGCCTGGCGGAGAATAAGAACAAAAAAATAGGGTTTAATACCCCCATGTCCCTAATAACCACGCAAGGCGAGGCATCAGTACCAGGGACAGACGGAGGGTGAATGGGTGGGGGTGGGAATGATGTATATACCTAGGAAAATGCCCTCTGTACAAGGGAGTGAGGGAGGGAATGACCTCGTTCCAGGGAGGGAGGGAACAGCTTCTGTTCCAGGGAGGGAGGGAACAGCCTCTGTTCCAGGGAGGGAGGGAACAGCCTCTGTTCCAGGGAGGGAGGGAACAGCCTCTGTTCCAGGGAGGGAGGGAACAGCCTCTGTTCCAGGGAGGGAGGGAACAGCCTCTGTTCCAGGGAGGGAGGGAACAGCCTCTGTTCCAGGGAGGGAGGGAACAGCCTCTGTTCCAGGGAGGGAGGGAACAGCCTCTGTTCCAGGGAGGGAGGGAACAGCCTCTGTTCCAGGGAGGGAGGGAACAGCCTCTGTTCCAGGGAGGGAGGGAACAGCCTCTGTTCCAGGGAGGGAGGGAACAGCCTCTGTTCCAGGGAGGGAGGGAACAGCCTCTGTTCCAGGGAGGGAGGGAACAGCCTCTGTTCCAGGGAGGGAGGGAACAGCCTCTGTTCCAGGGAGGGAGGGAACAGCCTCTGTTCCAGGGAGGGAGGGAACAGCCTCTGTTCCAGGGAGGGAGGGAACAGCCTCTGTTCCAGGGAGGGAGGGAACAGCCTCTGTTCCAGGGAGGGAGGGAACAGCCTCTGTTCCAGGGAGGGAGGGAACAGCCTCTGTTCCAGGGAGGGAGGGAACAGCCTCTGTTCCAGGGAGGGAGGGAACAGCCTCTGTTCCAGGGAGGGAGGGAACAGCCTCTGTTCCAGGGAGGGAGGGAACAGCCTCTGTTCCAGGGAGGGAGGGAACAGCCTCTGTTCCAGGGAGGGAGGGAACAGCCTCTGTTCCAGGGAGGGAGGGAACAGCCTCTGTTCCAGGGAGGGAGGGAACAGCCTCTGTTCCAGGGAGGGAGGGAACAGCCTCTGTTCCAGGGAGGGAGGGAACAGCCTCTGTTCCAGGGAGGGAGGGAACAGCCTCTGTTCCAGGGAGGGAGGGAACAGCCTCTGTTCCAGGGAGGGAGGCAGGGCAGGTCACCCCCAGACATCCCACCATTATTGCAAGGACAGGATGGAAGGAAGCAATTGTAACGCGGTGTTAATATATGTTTTACACTGGCCCCTAGTAGTAGACGTACCTTACACTGATCCCTAGTAGCAGACGTACCTTACACTGGCCCCTAGTAGCAGACGTACCTTACACTGATCCCTAGTAGCAGACGTACCTTACACTGGCCCCTAGTAGCAGACGTACCTTACACTGATCCCTAGTAGCAGACGTACCTTACACTGGCCCCTAGTAGCAGACGTACCTTACACTGGCCCCTAGTAGCAGATGTACCTTACACTGACCCCTAGTAGCAGACGTACCTTACACTGACCCCTAGTAGCAGACGTACCTTACACTGACCCCTAGTAGCAGACGTACCTTACACTGGTCCCCTAGTAGCAGACGTACCTTACACTGGCCCCTAGTAGCAGACGTACCTTACACTGACCCCTAGTAGCAGACGTACCTTACACTGGCCCCTAGTAGCAGACGTACCTTACACTGATCCCTAGTAGCAGACGTACCTTACACTGGCCCCTAGTAGCAGACGTACCTTACACTGATCCCTAGTAGCAGACGTACCTTACACTGGCCCCTAGTAGCAGACGTACCTTACACTGGCCCCTAGTAGCAGATGTACCTTACACTGACCCCTAGTAGCAGACGTACCTTACACTGACCCCTAGTAGCAGACGTACCTTACACTGGTCCCCTAGTAGCAGACGTACCTTACACTGGCCCCTAGTAGCAGACGTACCTTACACTGACCCCCCTAGTAGCAGACGTACCTTACACTGACCCCTAGTAGCAGACGTACCTTACACTGACCCCTAGTAGTAGACGTACCTTACACTGGCCCCTAGTAGCAGACGTACCTTATACTTGCGGTTGACCTCCTTGCAGAAGCCGTACCTGGGAAAATGTCAACGGATTTAGACGTTTTATTATGTAACTTGACTAAGCAGTTCTATACCAGAATATGCTGTTGTCATCAATTGAATGCTGAATATTGAGATACTGTAAGTAATCAATGTGAAAATCAGTCGGTAGAGGCAGTGATGCACTGGTGATGGCACCGGCACATGGCTACCTACGTTACTGCGTCAATTAATGCAACATTATAGTCGCTTCTACTTTAAGATAATGCGTGTCAGGTCATTTGGACAAGTCGCACCACACTGCTGCATGCTGTCTGTTACACTTTCCTGGGACGATTGTCTCCACATTCTCTACGCACTCCCATTTATTGCTGCTTAACCTCTTTACTTTCCTGCCTACCATTATTGTGCGAGTTTCAGTAAAAATGGAACCAAAGACCGGTTCGGACTTCTGTTCGTATTGTGTTGACGTTGAATCTTTAAAGAGAATCAAGTTTTCCCGCCCGTAAGCTGCTTCAATGAGGCGCAATTTGCTCTATATCCGGGTGACTCCCAGTTCCCCCCATCATCACTCGTTAGATCATTCCTCGTGGCATTGTTTGAGCGTGAACAAACACAGTTGGCACCAGTGTTATGCGTACTCCTTCCTGCCCGTGTATGTGCGTTCTGAAAGTTGTGCATTAGAGGGAGGCACAGCTCCTGGTGTCATCATTTACGTGTGCGTGTTGGGGGGTAGTTGTATCTGGACACCTGTGTGCCAGGTGCTCCCTCGTGCGCCCCACGAAGGCTGTAGTTACGAACGAGACTATAATGACTTAGTCCATGTAAGTTAGCATAGGCAGCTAATCTTTCCTCCCTCATAATCTGTTGCAGTAGGACTTTCCTTGATTGCTTTTACGTGAAGTAAAAGCAATCTTTATATACTTTCCGTACGTAGATAATTATATAATCTAATGTTAAATTAAGATATTAGATCTTGTCTGAACATTATATATAACCTTTGACATCAGTAAAGTGCTCAGGAATCACATCCTGCTAGCGATAATTGTTACGTGAAAACGATGACAAACCTACATGTTCAAGCAAGTTTCTCGAGACAATAAGATGCATCTCAAAAGGAACAAAGTAGGTTAGACTATCTCTACCATCCTGGTCCAAACCTACAACCACTCTGAGATCCTCCTCGAGGACTCTTAGATCTCAAGCTTGACTCGAGACAAGACCCAGGAAGCCATGAACCGTATGACAGTGTGTGTTAACCGACACTTTCCTCAGAGGGCCGAACTAATTACAAAGATGAACAACAAGGCTTCTCGCTCTAGGCTGACTTATTGCTCAAGTGCTGTTTCCCGTAACCTCCTGTAAGAGATGATCCGACCGAAGACTTTACTTCCTACCTGAGGTTGTGAGTTTAAGGGACAGTCGCTATGGGTGCTGTTTCAGTTTCGCATTAAATATGGCGCCTGACTGATTCCATTCTGGCCAACATAACGCGGGCCGCTCAGAAATAGGCAGTTTGCACGGTAGCCTGACTGACCTATAACTAGCCAGAACGTCAGGGCTGAAGTAGGTGTTAGGAAGTTCAGGCCTGAGGCCCCACCAGCTGATCAGAACCCACCTGGCGTTCATGACCAGGTCCTCGTGGTTGCCACGGTTGAGGAACACCTCAGAGGGGAAGACGATCACCAGCGCCAGCAGCAACAGGATGACCTCCAGAGACTTACGGCCGCGGTCCACGAAGTCGCCGTTGAACACGTACGGGTTGTCTGTCGATGGCAGCCCGTTCTGTAAAGGTTGGGGCTGTTAATGTGTCTGCGTGGACAGCAGCCCGTTCTTTAGGCAATTGTAACTTGCATATTAACCCCTAAAATTAAAAATCCAACCCCGCTGTGTGCCTAAAAGTGCATTACAATTCCGTGAAGTTTAATGGCATATGGCGATGTGCTCAAAAAAGGAAATCGCAATTTGAGTATTTTAAGGGTTAAGAGGCCACGAAATCTTAACTTTGGCGACTGACCTTGTAGAGGATGGTGATGAGGTCGTTGAGCTTGCCGTGCAGGTCACCCACCACCGTGATCTGACCCGAGATGGCGGCGGAGGCCTGGTTGACGGTGGGGCGCTGTCGCAGCACCCGCACCGCCTCCTGCAGCAGCATGTACACGTAGCGGGCGTGAAGAGCCTGAAGGGGAGGTGAAGACACGAGAACAGCACAGTATTGTCGCTTGATTATTATTATATTACATAGAGAGAGAGAGTGTGAGTGTGAGTGTGTGTGTGTGTGTGTGTGTGTGTGTGTGTGTGTGTGTGTGTGTGTGTGTGTGTGTGTGTGTGTGTGTGTGTGTGTGTGTGTGTGTGTGTGTGTGTGTGTGTGTGTGTGTGTGTGTGTGTGTGTGTGTGTGTGTGTGTGTGTGTGTGTGTGTGTGTGTGTGTGTGTGTGTGTGTGTGTGTGTGTGTGTGTGTGTGTGTGTGTGTGTGTGTGTGTGTGTGTGTGTGTGTGTGTGTGTGTGTGTGTGTGTGTGTGTGTGTGTGTGTGTGGCGGCCGCGCGATGATGATTTCTAGTAAATGGCTGTATCATGTTGCGTCTGTAGCGTGTATCGTTGACCTGAGGAGTATGGGGGGTATACTATACACATCATGATGCACAACGACTGTGTATATGAGGATGAGGTTAGTGTTGGGGGTTCGGGTGAGTGACTTCATGAAGCATTGCCAGACTACTGAACCGGCCTATGTTTGTTCACGTGACCTTCCTCCGACCTTGACCTTCACGTGCTCCCTCGCCAGGGTGATAAAAAAACTAGGGCTTATGGCTTAAGCTTTAGGCCGACCAACGTCCCCATACGAGACTGAGTATATTCCCACAACATATTATGACATGAATCGAAAGATTGTAAAAACCTACAATGAATGGCTGAACGATTGAAATATTAATGAACACAAAGGCGAGCCAGAACCGACCTTCTTTTTCTTGAAGGCGTCGACTATCTGGTGTATGGAGTCGGTGGTGAGGGGCGCCGCCAGGTGGGGCCCCTTGTAGCTGCTCTCCACCTTCACGTCCTTCGTCCACGCCTCGTCCAACAGCTTCCGTGTGGACATCTCCTCTCCTTCGCTCTCATCGTCTCCAGCAGTGAAATGGAATGTGGGTCACCTGAGTTTATATTTAATCTCTCTCTGATTCTCTCTCTCTCTCTCTCTCTCTAATCTCTCTCTCTAATCTCTCTCTCATCTCTCTCTCACCTACCTATGGAGGACGGAGAGGTCCTGGGCGAGAGGGCCTCCATCATAACCTCCGTCATGTTCCCGGTGCCCATGTGTGTGAGGAGGGCGTTGAAGAAGCTGTACAGCTGATGGAGAAGAAAAACCAGAGCTCTCACCAGCAGCTTTAACGACACGTGCAGAACAGTTCTCAGCGCCGGCTTAGTGCAGCCTCACATCCATAATAAATATATTACAAAGACTGCGACTGAGGCTTCGTATGAATAGTAATTGTACAACTTTATTGTTAAGGCTTGTGAATGTGTAATAATTAAGAGGCGGCGCCCAAGAGCTAGATTTTGCGCCGCCTCCATAGGAATAGGTAAAAATCTCTTAACTGTAAGCAAAGCCCATATACAGGCCAATGTCAAACAAAATTGCGACAACGTGGTGCTTCGGTTTGGCATAAAAGGCCTACCGTGTAAATTAAACAGTCCTGGGAGGGAGGGGGGTAAAAAAAATATTCCTTCACCCCTAGAACAGGCCATAGGAGCAAGAGGTAGTGAAATTGGACAATTGATATGGGACATTTACTTTGTTAAATAAATCCGAATGCTTGTGCTAAAGGGGGAATGTTTATTCTTAAATTTACATCCACAGTCATGTCCTTTTTTAAATTACATTAATGAAACCCTTGGATCTATTTTACCGCAGCAAGAGTTTCTCACCTTCATGTGGTCCTGTTCTCCGGCGTATTCGATAGACTGAAAGATAGTCCAAGTGTAGCGTCGGCGGACCTCTAGTCTGGCGCAGTATCTCCTGTACCACCGCTGGATCAGGAGCGCCGCTTTCAATGCTGCAACCATCATAAAAAACGTAAAATATTTTGAAATGAGTGTATTGTAATATTAATATATATTTCGAAATAATACAAACAAGTAATAATAATACAAACAAGTAATAATAATACAAACAAGTAATAATAATACAAACAAGTAATAATAATACAAACAAGTAATAATAATACAAACAAGTAATAATAATACAAACAAGTAATAATAATACAAATCGTAATAATAAAAAAAACAATTTATACGATGAAATCACAATAAAGTGATGTATCGATGAAAAATTAATAAAATAATGCAAGAATTACCCGCGTTGCTGGACTCCCTAAGCACACATACTAATTTTTATTTATTTATTTATATACAAGAAGGTACATTGGGTTTGTGAGAATACATAGCATGGTAATTAACAATCTTGTAAAGCCACTAGTAGGCAAAGCGTTTCGGGCAGGTCCTTACTTAATCTAACGGATAATTTTAAGTAGGTAAATTCTAGCGGAATTAATAAAATAAGATACATTGCAAGAAAGAAAAAATGAGACGAGAGAGATTAGTAGGTATATTAAAGCTCTGATTGATTGCATTGACAGCTTGATTGGTAATTTAAACGAAGATTAATAGGCACCATACAGCAAACTGAAAGCACATATAAGAAGACAGCAATGATCACAATGGTAAAGTTGTTTGGATTGGCTACATGAAGATTGGGAGATTGGGTATCACTAGATACAGTGCAATTTTAAAGCAACAAGGTAGAAAACTATGAAGATGAAATTAAGTACTTTAATTTTGTTTTTGAATGACGCAAAAGTTGGACAGCCAGATTAAGTTTGACTCTCGGGATATCAAGAGATTTATTTCTGATGTGGTGATCATGGGTCCTATTACATCTGTCCAGGGAGAGGTTCAGAGCAGGATTTGCATTTAAGAACAGAGTTTTGTAAATGTAGTTGACACAAGAGAATGAGTGGAGTGAGATTATGGTTAGTATGTTTAGGGAGTTAAACAAGGAGGGCTGAGTGCTATCTGAAAGCAGAATTTTTTCACTAGTGCTTGGAACCCACCTTTCTAACCGTCGTTTGTCTAATATACTGACTCTCGACCCATTCTTCCCTGCCACACCCACTACGTATATTCTACACGTGTGTGGGTGTGTGCGTCCGCGTCTTGAAACAAACCATTTTTTGGCTTTATCTTTTACAAGGTGTGGATTCTATGCTGGTGTTGTATAATCCAGTATTGGTTCAACGAATGTTGTGTAGATTACATAAAAACATAAGAACAAGGTAACTGCAGAAGGCCTATTGGCCCATACGAGGCAGCTCCTATCTATAACCACCCAATCCCACTCAAACAATCCCACTTCATTACCTTGAAGGAATTCTGAAGGAGAGGTTACTAAACGATGTTCTTATATTTGTCAGCGTCCCATATGCTGTCGCTGTTATCCTGTTTATAGCTCCAAGACTATAGCGCCCTCGGTGTTAGTCTTGGGATGATATTCACTTCCAAATATTTTTGTCTCACTGATTCCTGTACTTGCCTTCCTGTTAGGGTGTAGATGCCTTCTCGTCTCCTCTCTCTCTCTCTCTCTCTCTCCCTTTCCCATCTGTATTACCTTACACTTGTGCGTGCGTGAGAGAGAGTGAGAGTGAGAGAGAGAGAGAGAGAGGAGAGAGAGAGAAATCACCTAGTTATGCTTGCAGGGTCTAGTATCTGTTATTGAGCCTCGCTAAACGACCATCAGTAGTTCGGTGCAGAGACTCTTTCCTTCGCTTTCCCGCCATATTTACGTTTAAAGCTGTGTGTAGCGAATTGGCACCGCGTGGACGTCTCGTCTAGCTGGTTGCGCTTATTTACGGCTCATAGACTAGAAAACAAGTTCCTTGTGACTCATCAGTGCTTCCAGTTTGTTCTACTGTTCTTCACCTTGTGAGTCGTGTACTTAAGAGTTGACTCGAGTTCGATTCCGTTTTTTCATGTGGCCTCTTAATAGTAAATGGCGCGAGATACAATCTTTCCCTCGCCTGAAGAAGTCGTCGTAGGTGACACCGTGGACGACCTCTTTGTTTCGCGCCTTCTCTGGGACGAACCGGTCCTCGGAGAAGGAGTAGTAAGATAGAGTTAGTGGGGTGAGGGTAAGGAGGCGAGGAGGAGCAGGAGAGGGGAAACTGGTGGTGTGAGGGGCCACACCCCCGCCTCTCACTTTATTACATTGTGTTATCCGGTCCCCGGGCCGTAGGGACCCGGCCCCACCGAGGCGATCCTAAAATGGCAAGTCCGGCCGCATCAACCTATGGGAGTATTTTCTTCACGGCCATATTCCCTGGGTGCTGGTAGCTGTTATTCGAGGGGAGTGGTGCGACCAGTCCTCCTAGTAGAACGTCGCATTTTGACGTATACTCTACCCAAGGCCAAACATACCTGGTTGATACCTGGTTGATGGGGGTATCAACCAGGTATGTTTGGCCTTAGGTAGAGCATGTTCATCAGTGGAAGATAACACACAGCTCATCGCTCTATTCAGATTTACTGCCATTCTTGAATACAGTGATTTCTAGAGCGGGAAAATCCTTTAAGTTGTGATGTCCAAATCAAACTTCAGGAAATAAAGAAACGACGACGTTTCGGTCTGTCCTGGACCGAAACGTCGTAGTTACTTCATAGGGAAGTGGTGCCGGCGTCAAGGGCTGGGGGGGGGGGTTGTGGTGCTGGCGTCAAGGGCAGGGGGGGGGGGGTGGTGGTGCTGGCGTCAAGGGCAGGGGGGGGTGTGTGGTGGTGGTGCTGGCGTCAAGGGCAGGGTGGTGGTGGTGCTGGCGTCAAGGGCAGGGGGGTGGTGCTGGCGCCAAGGGCAGGGTGGTGGTGGTGGCGTCAAGGGCAGGGGGGTGGTGCTGGCGTCAAGGGCAGGGTGGTGGTGATGGCGTCAAGGGCAGGGGGGTGGTGGTGGCGTCAAGGGCAGGGTGGTGGTGGTGGCGTCAAGGGCAGGGTGGTGGTGATGGCGTCAAGGGCAGGGTGGTGTGATGGCGTCAAGGGCAGGGTGGTGGCGATGGCGTCAAGGGCAGGGTGGTGGCGATGGCGTCAAGGGCAGGGGGTGGTGCTGGCGCCAAGGGCAGGGTGGTGGTGGTGGCGTCAAGGGCAGGGGGGGTGGTGCTGGCGTCAAGGGCAGGGGGGTGGTGCTGGCGTCAAGGGCAGGGGGTTGTGGTGGCGTCAAGGGCAGGGTGGTGTGGTGGCGTCAAGGGCAGGGGGGGGGTGGTGGTGCTGGCGTCAAGGGCAGGGGGGGTGGTGGTGCTGGCGACAAGGGCAGGGTGGTGGTGGTGGCGTCAAGGGCAGGGGGGTTGTGGTGGCGTCAAGGGCAGGGTGGTGGTGGTGGCGTCAAGGGCAGGGGGTTGTGGTGGCGTCAAGGGCAGGGGGGGTGGTGGTGGCGACAAGGGCAGGGGGGTGGTGGTGCTGGCGTCAAGGGCAGGGTGGTGGTGGTGCTGGCGTCAAGGGCAGGGGGTTGTGGTGGCGTCAAGGGCAGGGGGGGTGGTGGTGGCGACAAGGGCAGGGGGGTGGTGGTGCTGGCGTCAAGGCAGGGTGGTGGTGGTGCTGGCGTCAAGGGCAGGGGGGTGGTGGTGGCGACAAGGGCAGGGGGGTGGTGGTGCTGGCGTCAAGGGCAGGGGGGTGGTGGTGCTGGCGTCAAGGGCAGGGTGGTGGTGGTGGCGTCAAGGGCAGGGGGGTGGTGGTGCTGGCGTCAAGGGCAGGGGGGTGGTGGTGCTGGCGTCAAGGGCAGGGGGGTGGTGCTGGCGTCAAGGGCAGGGGGGTGGTGCTGGCGTCATATAACATTGTCTCCTTTAGGATCCTTTCATCATTCATACTGTGAGTCGCAGACATTGATAACCCGCCGTAATCGCTTTAGCTTCTACATCGACAGTTCCTCTCTATACAGCTGCTGTGAAATTAATTTTAAGTGAACGTGTGTAGGGAGGGTGGTTTACGGGTGTACTCACCTAGTTGTGTTTGCGGGGGTTGAGCTCTGGCTCTTTGGTCCCGCCTCTCTACCGTCAATCAACAGGTATACAGGTTCCTGAGCCTATTGGGCTCTGTCATATCTACACTTGAAACTGTGTATGGAGTCAGCCTCCACCACATCACTGCCTAATGCATTCCATTTGTCAACCACTCTAACACTAAAAAAGTTCTTTCTAATATCTGTGTGGCTCATTTGGGCACTCAGTTTCCACCTGTGTCCCCTAGTGCGTGTGCCCTTTGTGCTAAATAGCCTGTCTTTATCTACCCTATTAATTCCCTTCAGAATCTTTAATGTAGTGATCATGTCCCCCCCTAACTCTTCTGTCTTCCAGCGAAGTGAGGCTTAATTCCCGTAGTCTCTCTTCGTAGCTCATACCTCTCGGCTCGGGTACTAGTATGGTGGCAAACCTTTGAACCTTTTCCAGTTTAGTCTTATCCTTGACTAGATATGGACTCCATGCTGGGGCTGCATACTCCAGGATTGGCCTGACATATGTGGTATACAAAGTTCTGAATGATTCTTAACACAAGTTTCTGAATGCCGTTCGTATGTTGGCCAGCCTGGCATATGCCGCTGATGTTATCCTCTTGATATGGGCTGCAGGAGACAGGTCTGGCGTGATATCAACCCCCAAGTCTTTTTCTTTCCCTGACTCCTGAAGAATTTCCTCTCCCAGATGATACCTTGTATCTGGCCTCCTGCTCCCTACACCTATCTTCATTACATTACATTTGCTTGGGTTAAACTAACAACCATTTGTTCGACCATTCCTTCAGCTTGTCTAGGTCTTCTTGAAGCCTCAAACAGTCCTCTTCTGTCTTAATCCTTCTCATAATTTTGGCATCGTCCGCAAACATTGAGAGAAATGAATCTATACCCTCCGGGAGATCATTTACATATATCAGAAACAAGATAGGACCGAGTACAGAGCCCCCTGGAACTCCACTGGTGACTTCACGCCAATCGGAGATCTCACCCCTCACCGTAACTCTCTGCTTCCTATTGCTTAGGTACTCCCTTATCCACTGGAGCACCTTACCAGCTACACCTGCCTGTCTCTCCAGCTTATGTACCAGCCTCTTATGCGGTACTGTGTCAAAAGACTTTCCGACAATCCAAGAAAATGCAGTCCGCCCAGCCCTCTCTTTCTTGCTTAATCTTTGTCACATGGTCGTAGAATTCTATTAAGCCAGTCAGGCAAGATTTACCCTCTCAGAGCCCATGTTGGCGATTTGTCACGAAGTCCCTTCTCTCCAGATGTGCTACCAGATTTTTTCTCACGATCTTCTCCATCACCTTGCATGGTATACAAGTCAAGGACACTGGCCTGTAGTTCAGTGCCTCCTGCCTGTCGCCCTTTTTGTACATTGGGACCACATTCGCCGTCTTCCATATTTCTGGTAGGTCTCTCGTCTCCAGTGACCTACTATACACTATGGAGAGTGGCAAGCAAAGTGCCTCTGCACTCTCTTTCAGTACCCATGGCGAGATCCCGTCTGGACTAACAGCCTTTCTAACATCCAGATCCAGCAGGTGTCTCTTGACCTCCTCTCTCGTAATTTCGAACTCTTCCAAGGCCGCCTGGTTTACTTCCCTTTCTAGCACGGTGACCTCACCTTGTCCTGTTGTGAAGACCTCCTGGAACCTCTTGTTGAGTTCATCACACACCTTTGTCATTTTCTGTATACCTGTCCTCGCCTGTTCTAAGTTTCACTACCTGTTCTTTCACTGTTGTTTTCCTTTTGATGTGACTGGAGTAGCTTTGGTTCGGTCTTGGCTTTGTTTGCTATATCATTTTCATAACTTTTCTCTACTTCTCTTCTCACCATGACGTACTCATTCCTGGTTCTCTGGTATCTCTCTCTCTCTGCTTTCTGGTGTTCTGTTATTCCGGAAGTTCCTCCACGGCCTTTTGTTCAGTTTCTTTGCTTCCATACATGCCCTATTATACCATGGATTCTTCTTTAGCTTCTCTGATTTTTCCTTTTGGGCCGGGATGTATCTGCTAACTGCCTCCTGACACTTTTGGGTGACAGTCTATCATATCTTGTACAGACTGTGTGTGTGTGTGTGTGTGTGTGTGTGTGTGGTGTGTGGTGTGTGTGTGTGTGTGTGTGTGTGTGTGTGTGTGTGTGTGTGTGTGTGTGTGTGTGTGTGTGTGTGTGTGTGTGTGTGTGTGTGTGTGTGTGTGTGTGTGTGTGTGTGTGTGTGTGTGTGTGTGTGTGTGTGTGTGTGTGTGTGTGTGTGTGTGTGTGTGTGTGTGTGTGTGTGTGTGTGTGTGTGTGTGTGTGTGTGTGTGTGTGTGTGTGTGGTGTGTGTGTGTGTGTGTGTGTGTGTGTGTGTGTGTGGGTGTGTGTGTGTGTGTGTGTGTGTGTGTGTGTGTGTGTGTGTGTGTGTTGTGTGTGTGTGTGTGGTGTGTGTGTGTGTGGTGTGTGTGTGTGTGTAGTTAAACCCCCATCATGGAAGTTTTTGTCTGTCATGATTTAGCCAAGTTTAGCTTGTTGAAAACCTGTGAAGACAATATCAAGTGCGATGGATGTTTAGTCGATTCCCAATGAGCTAAAATTTCTTAATAGCACTGGAAGCATTTTGTGAAAATAATGTATAATCTGAAGTAGATGCAGGAGCATCATCTTGAAACCTGTTAAGCCTAAGGTGGTGGATCCACGGACCTTCCACTGTGAGGCAGCTCACAACTGTTGCTTAATTCCTGGATACCTATTTATTGATTGACGAACAGTGCCATAAGGTGAAAGAAAACACGCTCAAACGTCCCTGTCCCGCCGTGAGCGTCGAACCCGGGACCTTTTGGTTGATCCCTCAGCGCTCCGTGTGATTAATAACATTACGGGAACAAATAGGCCAATCTGATTATACCCGAATATCCAATCATCCCTAGCTAAAGGTGAGCTTCACTTTGGCGTAGCACGAGCGTAAAGATTTAACCCCCCCCCGCCCCCCGTTCCCTCGATTTGCCAATCCGTAAAAAATCGAACTGATTTTGCCTAACCAGGAACGTGTCAACCCAAGCAATTCACTTAACCTATGAAAGCCGTTGCATATAAAACGTCAAATTAGAGCAACGTAATACAAATGTATTACATTGCTCTAATTTGTACAAATACGTAGTCTAACACTATACACACTCTCTCTCTGACCCTGTCCGCGGGGGACAAGAAAATGTATGCGTCTGTGGACGTATACCAAGCTTGTTGACCAGACCACACACTAAAAGTTGAAGGGACGACGACGTTTCGGTCCGTCCTGGACCATTCTCAAGTCGATTGTGTGATCGACTTGAGAATGGTCCAGGACGGACCGAAACGTCGTCGTCCCTTCAACTTTTAGTGTGTGGTCTGGTCAACATACTTCAGCCACGTTATTGTGACTCATCGCCTGTATACCAAGCTTGCTAGCTCTGTAGACGTATACTAAGCTTGCTAGCTCTGTATGCGTCTGTGGACGTATACCAAGCTTGCTAGCTCTGCGTCTGTAGACGTATACCAAACTTGCTAGCTCTGTAGACGTATACTAAGCTTGCTAGCTCTGTATGCGTCTGTGGACGTATACCAAGCTTCCTAACTCTGTATACGTCTGTGGTAGAAAAGACCAAGAAAAATCCCCCCACCTACCTATATCAACTCCTCCATTAGGGTCCAAAACCTGAACCAGCCTGACAATTATAACGTCAAAGTGACGTCACACCATTTATAAAACGCCGTGTTTTGATCTCTTCATTAGGTTAGGTAATGAGAGGTTAGATGAGATGTGTTTAAAAAGAGTAGGGGGATGACGTCAAGCTATTCATACTTTTCTCAGATTTTCGACCCTACCCGCTCAATCTCATCGCCCCGCCCTATTGTCTTTACCCATCCCAATCTATCCCTCGCTCCCTGCAGGTGTCAGGCTCATTTCCCTCGGGAACTCCCCAACACCGCGTCATCTTACGAGGCTTCTTAGCAATTAGGTCAGGAGGTCACGAAGGACGTGGCTGATCCAGCGATAGATTGCAGAAACAAAGTAAACTCCTTTTAATTTGAGATATATACAAGAGTTGTTACATTCTTGTACAGCCACTAGTACGCGTAGCGTTTCGGGCAGGTCCCTGGAATACGATCCCCTGCCGCGAAGAATCGTTGTTACATCCAAGTACACATTTTGCTGTTGCGTTAAACAGAGGCTACAGTTAAGGATTTGCGCCCAGTAAATCCTCCCCGGCCAGGATACGAACCCATGACAAAGCGCTTGCGGAACGCCAGGCGAGTGTCTTACCACTACACCACGGAGACTTGTTGATATAAATTATGATATAAATTAATCAGCGCAATCGGCTTTCAATCGAAAAGTCCAGGGGGTATCTATTCCCACGGCAGACGGAGGCGTTTGGGTATATTTTATTTTATCTGATGCCTCTGTTCACCTAGTAGTAAATAGGTACTTGGCAGTTAGGCCACTTTTGTGGGGGGTTGTATTCCGGAGGTCACACATGCCTGGTATTGCTGGTGTGGCGAGTGTGGAAAGTAGATTGATTGATTGATGAAGATTAAGCCACCCAAAAGGTGGCACGGGCATGAATAGCCCGTAAGTGGTGGCCCTTTTGAGCCATTACCAGTATCAAGAGCTGATACTGGAGATCTGTGGAGGCGCGACTGCACCCTGCGTGACGGGAGATGTCTCCCGGACCAAGTGGTGACCAGATGGTGGAAAGTAGATTTGATGAAGATTAAGCCACCCAAGAGGTGGCACGGGCATGAATAGCCCGTAAGTGGTGGCCCTTTCGAGCCATTACCAGTATCAAAAGATGATACTGGAGATCTGTGGAGGCGCGACTGCACCCTGCGTGACGGGAGATGTCTCCCAGACCAAGTGGTGACCAGATGGTGGAAAGTAGATAGTACTACTCGAGATATATACGGGATAAAACACGCACCACACAAGCACAAACGGCTCTACTCACCTCGCTCGACCTTGCACATGGTTGGAGACGGCCTCCTATGAGACCAAAAGTCAAACCAGCGCCTCTTCTTGCTGACGGCGTCGACGCTGCCCTCGCCATCGTGCTGGCCCGTCTTGGCCTCCACACAGACGCACTTCGACATCTGGAACCCCATTTTCTGTGGCTTTACTTCGCCTTGATCCCGGGCGATAATGGCTTCGTGTACCCTGGCTCCTTGTCCCCTTGGCTTCTTGCCCCCTGGCTCCTTGTCCCCTTGGCTTCTTGCCCCCTGGCTCCTTGCCCCCTTGGCTTCTTGCCCCCTGGCTCCTTGTCCCCTGGTTTCTTGCCCCCTTGGCTCCTTGCCCCCTGGCTCCTTGTCCCCTTGGCTTCTTGAGCCCTGGCTTCTTGCCCCCTGGCTTCTTGCCCCCTGGCTTCTTGCCCCCTGGCTTCTTGCCCCCTGGCTTCGTACCCCCTGGCACCTCGTCCCCTTGCTTGTATCTTACCAAGAATTAAGTTTCTGGAACATTAATCAAATGTATTTGGTCACTGTGGAGACACAGAGACCATTCTGTACGGGGCTTTTCATGTTGAGTCACTTGCAATTCTGACGTTTCCATGCATTTTGGCTTCGATTTTTTTCCCCGCTCTCCGTGTTAACGAGGAAGTTAACAGGAAATTGAATGCATTTGATTTTTTGGATCTAGAGCACTGGCTGGGTTAACGGTAGTGGTGGCTGTCCTGACTGGGTCCCAGTGGGCGGGGTTTACCGTGAGCTGGGGTGAGAGTGGGCGGGCCTCACCGTGGGCGGGCCTCACCGTGGGCGCCCCCACCTGCCCGTCACCACCAGCATCTGCTTGTCAATCATTTCCGTGGCGGCGACCCAAGTGCAACACCTGTAAGAGGGAGAAGAGATACATGTTAGTACCTTAATGGACAGAAACTACGTCACCTGGCCATGTTCTTGCGTACGTCATGATACGTCAGTGATTAACTCTAAACGTTCTCATGACGCTGAAACTCATCATCCAATCTCGGAATTTTCCGAAAACCACTTGAACTTTCTACCTGCACTTTCCAGCGAAACTCAAGGAATTATTTCCGTGTTTGGAAACCAAAATATATGATGACAACCAAAGAACTGGAAGCCAACCAAAGTACTGGGGGGGGGGGGAGCCAACCAAAGTACTGGGGGGGGGGACAACCAAAGTACTGGGGGGGGGAGACAACCAAAGTATCGTGGCGTGCACCCAGAGATCACCTCCCTCAACCCCTTATCTCAAGACGATAACTGCGCTCGCTGTGTGAGTATTTTCTCTCTACTGAGAAAATTACCTGAAGGAAAAAGTATAAAAATATATATTATTATTTTTTCTTATTCAGCTGAGCTTTCTAGCAC